GAACCTTTACTCTCCTTTTCGAGGGTATATTATTTGTGTCTTCACAATGAACTGATCTTTCAGTATTTTACTAATTAAACTTTTATTATTATTGTTTATTAGGAATAATATACAAATATTAAACCTAATTACATAGAGGAGCACAAGCAACGGTGGCCATCGGCTCCGAATGTTAATACATAAAGAAAAAGCTAAAATAAGACTTATATTCTATTTTGCAAGTTATATTCTACTAGAAAATTATATATCTTTGAAATATTATCATGAGATGGTGTAGTAAATAACTTACGATACTGATCAGTGATAAAGTGATTATTCCTAATACTCTCTAAAGCCAAACAATTGTTGAAAATGTAATCGATGGACAAGTTGTTCCCGCAGAAAAGGCAATTTGGTGGCTGCCTGCCGATGAGAATGTATTGATGTGTTAATTGAGTATGACCTATCCGTAGGCGTATGAAGATAGTTGATTGTAGGCGACTGATGCTGGTGAGGTAAATGACTTTATTCCGAGCAGGATTGAAATTTGTGTATCGGTGTTCAAAGCGTCTCCACTCCATAAGACTTTAATTGCGACTATGTTCTTGAAGCATTTTCCTAACATCATTTTGGTCCTGGGGGTCATATTGAAAGGTTGGCGCTGATTCGAAATATTTCGCTGCATAACCGGCTTGCTCATTGCCGGGAGTTCCGACGTGGCCAGGTACCCAGAGCAAAGCAAGTGAATGTCTAATGCATAGATCTCGGATTTTTCCAACAACGTTTGAGCTGTTACGTACGTTTGTTACTGCGTTCAAGCAGGAGAGATTATCCGATCAAATGACGAATTTACCTTTTTGATGAATTGCGTACTCTAATGCTTTGTAGATAGCAAAAGCTTCGGCCGTAAATACAGACGAGTGAGGCGTAAGAATACCCCCTGTTATAATAGTTTCATTGGATGAGGTGGCTGCAACGGCAGTATTTGTTGCTTTGGAGCCGTCTGTGTAAATTGGTGTAAAGTTTCTTTGTTTGTAAGTGTCAATTAGTTCCAAAAATCGTTGTTGAAATGTTGTGTTACTTGTGTTTGATTTTTTTAAGGTTGAAGTAATGTATCTATCATGGTTTGGCTATATATATATATTGATTTTTAATAGTTGGCAGTATCTGACGAATCGACGAAGAGTCGACTTTAGCCGGAAATTTCTTTTGTGTTTGGAGGCAGCTATTAAAGTCTTATGAAGTTCATAGTTAGGAGAATGTAAAACTTTTGGAATGGGTTGAATCGTTGTATCGTATACTCTTTGTCGCAATACCGGAAGCCCAGCCTCTCCTAGGATGCATTTTATAGGAGATGTAAAGAAAGCGACGAATTAAGGCGTGATAGATGGGTTCAAGTTGTTTGATGTTTGTGTTGGCGCACCAGCCAAAGATAGGTAAGCCATAGTCGATCTTGAAGAGTATTATGGCTATTCTAATATTGATAATAGTATTGGAGTGTATGAATGATTTTTTGCTTGATATATACTTAATAATATTGTTTAACTTAGAAAGATTTTTCTGAGGTTAACACATTGATGCTTAAAAGTAAACTTATTATCAAACCATATACTTAAACTTTTTAAATTGGATACCGACTGAATAATAGTATTGTCAAAGACTAGTTGTGGAAAATTACATTTAACTTTTTTGCAAATATGAAGAAGTTTGCATTTGGGTATAGAGATGGATGCTCCTGATTTAAGGCCCCATTTTTTAAATTCTGATAGCACTTTATGGAAGGTCCCATTAACCGCTTGTGGATCTTTTAAGTTAGTATAAACAATAGCATCATCCGCATACAGTGTGAGTTTGACGCTCTTGATATTTAAATAAATATCAGTGAGTTTGTCGAAAACAATAATAACAAGTAAGGAAGGGCTAAGTTCGGATGGAACCGAACATTTTATACTCTCGCAAAGTCAAATGGTATAGTCGTTTGAGATTTCTTTGTGGATTGACTGATATTTTCGGTAGAAAGTTATCTATAGGCACTGGGGTCCACATATTTAGTACTTAGGAGCTTGACAATTTTGGTTCGATTTAGACAATTTTTGGTCACAAGGTGGCATACTTTCAACGTATTATTCACGCAAAGTTTTAACCCGATATAATCATTGTTGCTTGGTATGCATAGTGGAAAGTAAAAGAATCAGATGGAATTGAAAATGTGTTATATGGGAAATAGGCGTGGTTGTAGTCCGATTTCGCCCATTTTCACTATAACATAGAAATTTGAAAATAACGTTATGCACCGAATCGGTTAAGCAGATCCCAAGATATGGATTTTCACCTATAAAGTCATCTCATACCATCTCAGAGATAAAATTTAATGTCTCTGGCGTGTTTAGTGCTTGGTTTATCGCGCTTTTAGTATTTTTTAACAGTACCGTGATATGGGGAGTGGGCGATCTTGTCACACCGATTTCACCCATTTTCACACCGTCAATAGAGGTTTGCTTCCAGTGAATTTGGTTATTATAGCATTAGCGGTTTAGGAGATATACACATTAAACCTATTAGGGGCGGGACCACGCCCACTTTAAAAAAAAAAATTATAACTGCAGATGCCCTGTGTACCAAATAACAGTCTTGTATCTTATTGCAGAGCTTAGTGAACAGGTTGCGAGAGTATAAAAAGTACTACTGATAAGGGCCTTGAGGTATTCCGTTTTTGAGTTGGTGTGTATCTGAAAGGACGTTATTGACGCGTATCCTAAATTGTCGGTGAGCCATGAAAGCTTTTACTATTTGAAAAGCTTTTGGACCAATTTTCCAGGACGTGAGTTGGCTTAGAACTGCATAAATACCCTTGCGATCGAAAGTTTTCTCGAAGTCGGTAGCTAAAAGTGAGGCATGGTTTTTTGTAGAAAGAGAGTCAGAGATAAAGTGCTGGAGTTGAATAAGTGAGTTCATTGCTGTGAGTGCTTGTTTTTAAAGGCGGTTTGGTTATGTTTGATAAGATTGTTTTTAGTAACAAACCACAGCAACCTTTTAGCCAAAATTTTTTCAACGAGTTATAGAGAGAAATTAGCCTATGTTTGGCTAGTAGATAAGATATCCGATCGATAAACTCCTGGTTTTGCGTTTTGCATGTTTGTGTGCGGCTCCTAATTCGCAAAAAGTTATCTTGCCTTAGACATATTATGCAGATCGTGAAAGATTCGTCGGGTTAGAATCGACTTATTTGCCGACGAACGTATTATTTTCGTAAGAACAGCTGTTTCTTGATGGATATTATTTGCTGGTGAATTGGGTAGTGTTTCTAATATCTATTTGGAACAGCTCCCAGTTAGCCAGATCTGTTTTGAACTTAGGAAGATGGTTATATTTTATTGAGTATAGGTTGACTTGAATAGTGATTAAAATAGGGAAGTGGTCACTTCCATGAAGGTCGGAGCTGACTTCCCAGTTCATTCTGGGAGAGATTTGTGGAGACGAAAGAGTGATGTCAACATTTATTAAAGATGCGTGTGTTGAAATGTGGGTTGGGGAATCTTTATTTAATACGGTTAGATTATGGTTTGAGACAAAGTTTTTAATTTTAAGTCCTCTTCTGTTCGAGTTGCGCGAGTCCCAAAGTCGGTTCGAGGCATTAAAATCGCCGGTCCACAACAGAGGCTCAGGTAGTAGCAGGAATAAATTAATAAGTTCAGAATCATTAAAATCTTGTGAGGGAGGGATATATGTATTTGCAATACAGAGTGTAGAATTAAGTTTTACTTTTAAAGCTATTGTAGACAGGGTAGAGTTTAGTGGAATTACCATTTTATGAGTATTCCATCACCTTATGTGTTTATTTGTATCTTTTGCAAATTAGCAAAATACCCAAGGTATTGTTTGGGATAAACAAAATTGTTGTTGGATGATACAGCTATATGAGAAGCAGATGTGAATATATGTGTGTATAAAGGTGTATTTAATTTTAATTTTTAGAGTGGTTTTATTTATAGTTTGGTTTTGTGTAAGTCACATGTCATCGTCTGACGTGACATGCACTTGAGAAGTTCAGATTATCGTAAGAGCGGAAGGTCGTAAAGAGTTTGGTGTTCAGCAGGGTGGGAGGGGGATATGCCGGTGAGAGTATGTTGATCTGTGGTGAAATCATTGTTGGTTTGGTTAAGATATGAAGAATTATATAAAATATTAAGAGAAGAGGAATAAAACGAGAAGTCATACTCCTGGTTATTTGTTTCTACAAATGAGGTGGGTTCTGTTGGTGAAGAGTGAGGTATGTTGGTAAGGTACATAGAAGGGGAACAATTGGAAGAGTTGTTTTCGTTATGAGTAAGATCTACAAATGAGGTGGGTTCTGTTTCTGTTGAGTGGGGAGAGTTGGTAAAGTCCATAGGAGGGGGATAATTGGAGGAGGTGTTTTCTTTATGATCAAGATTTTCAATTTGGTTTTTGTCTTTGTTATTTTTTGTTTCATCTGAATTTTTTACTTCGTTGTTTTTGTTGGTTGTTGGTAGAGAATCATTTTTGTTAGTATTTTGGTTAGATACTATGTGCGTTTTGATAGCTTCGCGCATAGGACATTTATTTATTGTTTTAATTTTGAGGATTTCTTTTGCTTGGAGGAACTAACTGCATTCTCTGGAGGAGGATGGGTGTTGTTGGGAACAGTTGGCGCAAAGAATGCGTTCGCATTCTTGTAGGGTATGGGGAGGAAGGGAACAATTTACCCTACTTACTTATTTCGAGATCACTTTTCTTTTTTTTTGACCGGTATCGAGTATTCCGAAGCGATTAGCAGATTATGCACGTTTATTTTAACAACCACTATGCGTATAGGGTAGGCGAGAAAAAAAGTAACTAAAGAAAATATTCAACACACTTAGAGGTGGAGTGAGAAGTAACTAACTAATCAAGAGAATTCCGTATACGAAACAGACGTCTTATCGGCGCGAGAGTTAGTCGAAGACTGCTAATTAAACTTATTAATTTGTAATATACTTATTGATTAATTTTTCTTTTTTCAGCAATGGAATCTAAACTAATTTGGATAATAGCAATATTTTATTCAACTCTTCAACATATCAGTTCTGCTTCATCACCATGTAAGTCGAACTCATAAATATACACATGTACATATTTAATAAATATTTATTCACCAGTGGGTTGAAAACGGATCCTTCCAATGTGTATTAATATGCAATACAGATATGTATATTACCATATTTTGCAATAATATAAAATCTAGATTTTATACTATCTCAATATTTTGACAAAAATTCAGATATATTAGTGAAATTCTGTACTTATAAAATAAAGACAACAGAGCTTAAAGCTTTGCATAATTTAAAACTTCGTAGAAGGAGAAGGGACCTCCCACGCTGTTCGTATTAAAGTAGTTTGGGAGAAATGGTTGTCTTGTATATATATAACATGCTTTTTACCGATACTGCAGACAATATGATAGATATCTTTATAAAGTCACGTGAGTATTTTATTATTGACAAAGGTTTGTGTTATTATTGAGACAAGTTTATTTGGAATTAAAGGAGTAATTTAAGTTTATAATTTAGGTAATCAATTTGCGTTACTTGTGTTTACTTTAAAATCGACAACAGAAATCAATTAAAATTGAGAAAAATCTTCACCTTTACGCTCTAAGAAAGGAAATTATCAAACAAATAGTAAATACCTTCGTAAAAGAATTATATTTGCAATATATCAACTTAAATTTAAAGTAACGTGAACACATTATATATTTTTATTTATGGCTTCATAGGATGTAGTAAACAAAAACCAAATTCAAATTATATTTGCATTTTTTACAACGAAAAATATATATATTACATAAGTTCCATAGAAAATAATTATATGTGCAAATTCATCTATTTGTGTTCTGGCAGCTGTACAGGCAACATATTAATTTAGTTTTTAACTAAAGTGAAAAAATTGGAAAAGAAGAAAATTAAAGGTATTAAATCTGGTTCATAGAAATATAATTTATTAGATTATATTTAGAAACATAAATTATTAATTATATAGTAAGAATGCCACGTGGTACACAACTTTCGGATGGAGAGCGGGTGGGATAATTGGAATGCATGAAGCCGGCATAAAAATGGGTCGAATTGCTGCTTCAGTGAACCGACATCATAATACGGTCGCACATTTTTTGAAAGATCCTCTAAGCTATGGTGTCATCTAGCGGACTGGTCAGTTACCAGCAGGACTGAGAAGAACTGAGTTGCAGGCAGATACAAGTAGAATTTGGCCTACCAATCACTAGACAGCGTGTTCAGCAAATTATGAAACATGAAATGGGACTTAGCTTTAAATCAAAACTAACCCATCTGCGAATGAAGAACCGACATAAAAATTACCATATTTTATTTTGCGACAAATAAAGGTTTTGGCAGCACGAGTTTGAAAACCTAATTGATAGTGATGAGAAGAAATTAAATTCTGATGGTCCAAATGTTCATTATAAATATTGACGAGATCCACGACATCCAAGAGAGACTTGCTTTAAGCGAAACCATTGTGGGGGATCTTTAATGGTATGGGCTGCCTTTAGCGCTAAAAGTATATCTTATATGTGCGTTTACCGACTAAAATGAATGATATAAGATAGTTCGCTCATTCCTTTTGTAAAGAACTTTCATGACGAAAATTGGATATTTCAGCAAGACAACGCCCCCATTCTTGTGGCTCGCGCTACAAAAGAATTTTTACAGTCCCGGAATATCCAATTATGGAATTGGCCAGCTTTGAGTCCTGATCTCAACCCAATAGAGGATCTTCGGGGTATACTTTCTGTTTAAGTATATGAACATGCCAAGCACTATGATACTATTAAGTAGTTAAAAAGTGCCAAACTTTGTAGAGTCCATGCCACAAAGACTGTGTTTGGTAAAAGTACATAAAGGTAATACTATTAGGTACTGAAAATACTTAACATTTCAATGACTTAAAGTTAATTTTATCATATACTTGCTATAATAATATTTTACATTAATTGCTAGGAGCTCTCTATTTTGCACATGTAATTATTTTCTATGGAACTTAAGTAATATATATAATTTTTGTTATAAAAAATACAAATATAATTTGAATTTTCTTTTTTTTTACTACATCCTATGAAGCCATAAATAAAAATATATACTATCAAAATATATAATGTGTTCTCGATACTTTAAATTGAAGTTGATGTATTGCAAATATGCTTCTATTGCGTCATGGCAGGCACACGTAATAATTAGTCTGGTCGGAGCGAAAAAGCAGGCTCGCAGGCGTCGTCATCAAGCGACTGCAGCTTTTCATTAGTGGGTGACTTGGCTTCTAAACCGTTTAATATGACAAGAAGTGTTTCTCACATATGTAACAAAAACTCCAATTGGTTCTGTTACATACAAGTATGTTGAGAATTCGAAGTAACAAAAAGTCGCAGATTTTTTTCAAACAAATTGAAAAACGTGTATGAAAATTGCTTAAGTAGCCAGATTACGAACTGAAAAGCAACTTGGGTACCACATTCACTTTGTAATCGGTGTCACACGATGCTTACTCTAAATAAAATTCAAATTTTTTTTGATCACAATATTGGAAATTTTCCGCTTTTTTCGCAATTTTCTTGGGCGTTTTAGTATTTACTTAGACTTTTAATGGCTAGTGGTCTGAATAAACTTCAGATAGGTATTGAGCGGATCGAAGAACACGAAAATCATGCTTAGTTTAAATCTAAAAACATTTTCAATTACCAAAACCCCCAATTTTTGTGTTTTTTTTCGGTTTTTTTTACAGTTTTCTCAAAATTCTAGGGTGTAGGGGTCAAACAGTAATCAAATTCAGTTTCGGCGGGTCAAATTACATGGGAATATCTGTGTCGCGTCCCAAGTACACACATTTTTTTTTTTTTGCCGGTGTAATTATAAAAACCTGAAAAAATATTACAAACAGTCCAATGTTTTACTGTAGAAAATGATTTGTTATGATTACAGTCACAAGTTTTAAAAATATTGGTAAAATATACATGTTAACTTTGAAGGTTTTTTCTTTTCCTCAATTCCAATGCAGATTCTCGACGAACCAACCAACAGAAAATAGTAAACATTGCTGCTAACCATTTCCCACTGTAGTGCTAGCTAAAATGGCATTGCAAGTTATTTATGTTAAATATAATTTTAATATTATTGTATTGAATTTTAAAGGATATAGTAGAAGGAGATTGAGTCAAGTGTACTAAAGCTAACTATACTATCGCTAAATTTCTTCTTTTTTTTATACACGATTGATTCTTTTTTTGTATATTTCTAATAGAAATCGATCATTTTTGATATCTCGCCCATTTTTTTGTTTGAATATGCAAATTTGCAAATGGCAGTTTTTAGCAGTTTCATGCAAGAGCATCAGTCAGCATAAAATCAGCAGCGCAATTACAAAAAGTGCGACTACAAAAAATATATTTAAAGTGACATAGTGAATATTCAAGCTTTTTCAAAAAAATTATTGCATACTTTTACAAATGTCACTCTAACTTTTTTATCTACTTTGTTTAATTCAAATAAAAGCTTCATCATAAGCTCGCGAATCGGCAGGCCTACAAATTTTTACATGTTCATGGCATTTTATACTCTTATTAAATTATAAAATACCTTCTAACACAATTTTTAAATGTATAATTCACTTTTATCATCTTTACCATCTGACAGATAACAAAAGGCTTTAAAATAAACATTTATAAACCTTCAATCTTCAGGAAATCTCAAGGAATATATAATTGAATCTAACATAATAACATACATACGTATGTTTCTACACGCAAATTTTAACCAAAATAAATAATTAATCTTGCAAGTAGAGTAAAACTAATGCGGAAAAATAATCGAAAGAGAAAATATATTATATATTCTGTGATATACTAATACAAACACATTGTCATGAATATAATGCACACCCACTGCGTATTTGACAATTTTTTAACGGTTTATACTTATTTAAGTACATCATTCGTTGGAAACTAGAGCTGCTATGTAAATACAAAATTGCCCAAATTGTTTCTAATTGAAATATTTTTCAAGTCTAAAAAAAGTTTATTAAATGCAAAACTACTTCAAATAATTCAATAAATTTTTTAAAATGTTTTCCCAAAAGACAGCTTCAGAAATGCATCAACCATCTGGAGAAGATTAAAAATTATAGGGCATACACATTACATTATCGACTTTTAAAATATTATTATATATACCATATGAAATATTATTTTCAACTATAATTATTAGCTTATAACAAATATTTTATATATTTATGACAGTGAAACGACCTCGAGCAGGAGATCCTTTTGACACATTTCCAAAAAATTTTTGGCAAGAATTCTCCTCCCCATTTACGGACACACCCGAAGATGAGGAGGCTGAAATAACGGAAACCACAACTCACGAACCGTTTCCTTTCTTTGCTGATCCATATACAACTGTAAACGTCAGCACGCAGTTAAGCTCCAATGTACATCTACATTGTAGAGTCAACGATTTACAAGGAAAAACGGTAAGAAAAAATAATATCATTAGATGATTGATTGCATTTGCCTAAAATTACGTTTATATTCAACTGCATTAAATTATAATTTAATATTGAGAGCTAACACCTGTAAAATGATAATTTTGTAGTATATCTGGCAATACCCAATAGAATTAAATATTTATATGTTTTGTAGTTACACCTAACTTTCAAAAAACTTGCTTATAAATTTCACAGACTACGTACGACAATCGATTTTTGAGATATACGAGTAATATGTACCTTAATGAAACTAAACAGGGCGTTTTCGGTAATGCAAAACTGAGTAGTTTGCATGATGCAACCGGTTCGAAAAAGCAAACCTGGCATCTTTGCCGAAATTGAAAGTTCGGAAAAGCGTACTGTAGTAGCTGTTTCGCAAAAAAGCACAAGCCTTGCAATATTTGAAAAGTAGTTGCGCAAAATATTACAACCAAAACCAACTGTGACAGCTATGTATAATGTTATTGAATTATTTATGTTAAATATAATTTTAATATTATTGTTTTATCATATTTGTGTTTTTTTTTTATTTTTTAGGATATAGCAGAGAAATTGCGTAAAGTGCACTAAAGCTATTACTTATGGAATAATCCGTTTTACTTAAAAGCTATTCGCATTTAATAAATATTTTTGTTTACACGATTCATTATCTTTTTATATCTTTCAGTCAGCATAAAACCAGTAAACTTCTTACTTATAATTCATTTACCATACACTTTACTCGACAGCACTATTATTAGGACTATGTCTGCAGCCCTTTCGGCAGCCCTCAGATCGCTACCAACCCATCGCCACCGGAACATTCTACTACGAATTTCGTTGTCGCGTTGATTTTGGCAACTCAAGTCGATTATTTTTTGTTCTGTAAATCGTGTTTACTACACTGCCCCTTCACCTAAGTGTTATCGTCCGATTATACATAAGGGAAAAAGTCAACTATAGGCACTGGGGTCAACATATTCAGAACCTAGAGGGTTGAACAGTTTTGGTTCGATTTAGACAATTTTTGGTCACAAGGTGACATACTTACTTTAAACGCATTATTCGCGCAAAATTTTTCCCCTATACAATCCTTGTTGCTGGATTTGCAAAGTGGAAAGTGAAAGAATCAGATGGAATTTAAAATGGTGTTATATGGGAAATAGGTGTAGTTGTCACCCAATTTCACACTGTCGATAGAGATGCTGAAAACATTTGTTCTCAGTGAATTTTGTTATTATAGTTTTAGCAGTTTAGGAGACCTGCACATTGAACCTATAAGGGGGCGGGACCACGTCAACTTTAAAAAAAATTTAAAATGTAGATGCCCCTACCTTATGTAATCATGTATACCAAATAATAGTCTTGTATCTTATTGTGGAGCTTAGTTATGTCAATTTTTTTTTGTTTTTGATTAATAGCATTTTGTGGGCGCCCATCTGCAATACCAGCCGTCTTACGGTACCTGAAACATGTGTACCAAGTTTCATAAAAATATCTAAATTTTTACTGAAGTTACAGCTTCCACAGACGGACGGACGGGCGGACGGACAGACAGTCACCCGGATTTCAACTCCTCTCTTCATCTTGATCATCTATATATACATAACCCTACATCTAATACGATTAATTTTAGGTGATACAAACAACCGTTAGGTGAACTATTATACTCTGTAACAACAGGATGCGAGAGTATAAAAAGGTTACATTGGGCGCAGGAAAACATCAACCGTTATTGGAGCAATGTAATATTTGTGATATTATTTTCATGTTAATGAATGCTTCTCTACTCATAGCTTTATAGTTTTGAGGTACTTCACAGAAAGTAAAAAAGGTTAACTGAATTCAAGTGAAATGCTTTACTGCAAAAATAACCATGATGGATTCTGCAGGAAGACAATGATTTCATACATGGAAGCAGACTCTGTACTCAATGGAAACAAGAAAACCATATTGTTAATTTAGATTGGCCATCTCAGTCAATAGACGGCTATAACATGTTTCGGCCTTGTTGAAAGATAAATTTCAAGAAAAGATTTTATTCGCTTACCCCAACATACCTGGGGGTCGCTTCCTGTGGAATATACGGAAAATTAAGTTGCAAATTTGTATCAAAGATGTAAGGCTATAACAGACAACTGTATGTGAATTGTAGGTAGCGCTTATTGGGAAACATTTTGTAATTATAGAAAATACATTATTTTGTTATAGTTGACGTTTATTCAATTCTGTTATAGTCTGACAACTTTGATGACAATTTGCAACTAATTTTTCGCATATCCTACAGGAGAAGCCGGTTGAAATTTTTGTTGAGGTTAAATATTTTTTCGGATGTTTTGGCTTTCATTTAAGCCCAAACATTCTCTATTGGCATGGCGTCTGGTGACACTATAACAATATGGTTTCCTTTTTTGCATTGAATACAGAGTCTGCTCCCATGTATCTTCTTGCAATATCCAATCATGGTTATTTTTGCAGTTAATCATTTCAGCTGCCTTCAGTAACCTTTTTTATACAATTTTACCTTCATAACGGCGTTCATGGTTTCTATGAAGCATTTCAAAACCCCAAATTCAAATGCAGTGATGCATCGATAAACAAGCACCTTTTGAGAGTGCTTAATTCTGCTTTAAATAAGTGCTTGTCCTTTTCTTAGCTAAATACGTCTCTAGGCGTTGAACAATACAAAAGTTTATTCATCTGTAAATATTTCATTGCTCCAATCACAGTTGATGTTTTCCAGTGCCCAATGCAACATTTTGTAATGTATGTTTTTGTTTTATTTAGATTTATCTTAACTCTTTTGAAGCAAAATTTGTTTAGCTTGTCTTAGACTGAACAGTGGTTTCATCTCGAAAAGTAAAACAATACTAATTTGGTTGGAACACCATATCCCGATACCTGATAATCCGTATCGTGGGATGAAAACGTCTGCTACTTTTTCAGCCTCTCGATTAGAAATTGGGTATACCTCGGGCCATTTGCTGAAATAGTCCATAGCGTAATGTATCAACCATCACAATAAAACCTTTGTTATAATTTCTCCAAGGTTTTCGTGATACCCATGTGTCCTCCACTTGGACCGTTGTACAGTTCGTTGGACCGTTGTACAGTTGGGGGTTGGGGTGTAATTCTATTATTGCCTAAATAGCTACTTCTGATTTTGGTGTAATCTGCTGGCTATCTGTTGTTATCACTCGTCTAACGTTGTACTTATTATCGTAACCGAACATTAGTGCACTTCCATATTTGTATAGGTTATAATCCTGTTTTTCATGTCAATTTTGATTCCTTTATTCGCTGAAAAGTATATTCCAATTATGATTTTATCGACGATATCTGCCACTTTAAAATTGTGTAACACAGCTGCCTTTCCAATTACGATCTCGCACATTACTTTTCCGAGAACATCGGTATCTTCTCCAGTTGTACGCAACTTTGCCCCAGCTAATGGTCTCACTTCTTTATCAACCAGATCAGATCGAATTATGGAATGTGATGCGCCCGTATCCACAGTCAGTATGCACTTTTTGCCGCCTCCATATCCACTATCGGTAAAGTTACGCGTATTCCTGTTTACTTATGAGGTAGAGATTATAGGGCATTCGCTTGCGGGAGCCTGCCCGTGCCCCTTTCGCCTGCCTCGTTTCAGTTTAATGATCGATTTGATTTCAACCTTGCTTGATCTTCCTCAGCTCTGCGTTAGCGTCCTGCTGAATTATTTATCTGGTTAGAAGCATTTAAGCAAAAAATTAAAACTAATAGAGATTGGCTCTCAGAAAAGTTTTGTATTTCAGATGGGCAAATTCGGACCGCAATGGTCCTCAAAATGATGTTAATTGAAACACTGTAAAAGGCTATATTTTGGCGACAAGATACATAGCAATTCTTTGGTACAATAAATCGAAGTATGGAAAGGCATCTGTGGTTTAAAATTTTTTAAAATCTTATATACAGTTACAGTTATACTAGTATCATCCAAACTTGCTGCGGCCTCAGCCAGCTTGAAAATAGATCAAATCAGATGCTAACCACGTTCATTCCCCATAGAACGATTATTTTGAAAACTACTAAAATTGTGATAACTCAACAAAAATTGGACAATGGTCATGTCACCGCCTACCTTCAAGAGAAATCCTATATCTCCGAAACTACTTTGTCACTTTAAACTGACTCTGGCACATATGATTATTTTGATAGCGTTATATTACTTTGTGAAAAAAGACGAAATTGAACTACAATCACGCCTACATAGTCAGTTTTAAAATCCATATGATTCTTCCACTTTACATAATACATATACATATGTAAACCAAGCACCAATGAAGTAATCGGAATAAAACTAATATAAAGACTGTCGAACTTTCGGTTTATTTTATACCGCATATATCGATCATTATCATATAATATGTGAGTTAGTTTAATGAAATCTGAAGAGCGTATTTTTTTGCTGACACCTTGGGGGCGCCAAAAATAGATAGCAATATAAAATATATGTACATACATACTTTTATATATGTATGCACTAGCTTCACGCTCAGCTTCGCATTGAATCCCTTAAATAAATATCAAACATCATTAACAAAAACAAATAACTAAATTCATTGTAGTTTTGTCTGATTTATAGAAATACATACATACATATAACGAAAACTCTTTCAATCCATTTTTATATAATTTTCTAGATTTTAGCATTTGAGAAAAACAAGCATATTTGCCAAAATAAATTTTTTCCTAGTCACTAAACTATTTTTTTTAAATGAGTAACCTATGTCCTTTTTAATATCATTAGGAATATGTCTACAAAGTTTCATTACGATCAGTTATGTGGTTTTGGGATGAAAGAGTAACGAATAAATTTACATTCACATTTATAATATTAGTATGGATACATAAAAAAATACCAATACTAGATACATATATAATTTATAGTATACCTATATTTATATTTACCGAAAATGCAAAATAACGTAACATCACTTTTCACAATTTTACAGGAGAAGGAA